AGCAGAACCGTCTGGAAAATGATCTATAGGAAATAGTACAGCTTATAAAATGAGTCAGAACATTACATGTAGCATGCATTAGGTTCTGTAATATTCATTTTTACATAGTTTCTAACAGGCAATAAACCCCATACAATCGGAATAAACATATTTCTCTGACTATAAAAGATATTTCATGTGCTATAAGCAAATATGTTGGTATATAGCCATGTTCTGTACACTGCATATGAATTGTGTAACAGATAAATATTTTTGAAGTAAACTGTGTACTTTTCTAATATGGTCCATGATATAGTGATGTAATGTCAGAACATTTATATGTATGGGGTTTTGAGTTGCTCCTCACTCTTCACAGTGAGCAGCTACATATTTTTAAAATCTTGTATGTTCCCTGTAGTGAGTAGAGGAATAATTCAAAACAACATACATATATTATACAATACACCACTGTATAAAGCCTGATCATTTTATTTTGATTTGTCCTTGTCCGATGTTATTTGTGAGGGGTAGAATTCTCAGAAACTGGCATACCTCGGTGACAAGCAGTGAATTGAATGATAGATTGAGCTTTGAATTTATCTTTGTTATGAAATAATTATGTTATAATTACTGGAGTTGAGTTTTAACTGATTATACATTAATTTATAATGAAAGTAAAATAATGATAATTATCTATACCCTCAAAGAAATCATATTTTGTGCATATACATGTTGGAATCAATATAGGCATAAACACCTTTTTAACAATCAGCAGATATTCAAATATTGGCAATAAGAATCACATATTGAAACTACATTTTATTTGTTCTGTATGTTTGAGATCTGAAAAAGTTTCATAATAGTCTTATTAGCTATTGAAATATAGTTTTGTAATGTTATTTCTGTAAAAAATAAACATAAGCATTACAGCACCATACAATATTTAATTTTAGCATTCTTTAGAACAGTAACAATGCTGAAGGTTGTTGCTTAAAGTTCCAATGCTTAGGTTAGCTGATTTGTCCAAAGTATTTTGTGAACAAGTTATATAATATCTAGGTATGAATAGTAAGTTCCTATTATGAAATTTTGTTTGCATTTAGCACCAGACCTTAAATGATTTGAAAGGATTTTTATATAATTGTCTAAAGAACAAAATTCCAATTGAAAATAAGATATGTACAAAAAAACCTTGTAGTTCTATCACAGAATTTCAAGTTTTATATTATTTCATTAGCACCTTGCAAAACCTGTGTCAACATTTGGAGATACTGCTGAAATAAGATTCAATTTGGATTTTTGTATGGCTCAACAATAAATAAATGTATTTTGTATAAAATGAAAGATGATTAATAGATACCATATTCCAGAATCAAAATGATTGAAATAGGTAAAATAAAATATTATAATAATTAATAAAGTCATTAGGTGTAACATCCGATCATCAGATGCCTGAATTTTCCTTTTGTGATCACAATTTTCAGATTATTGATATCTGATATAACATTTTTATTGAAGGAAGTATTTTTGTATTTTGATAATCATTGATTAATATTTTCTTTAATTAAAAGAACTGAATGGAATTGTCAAGTAATATGTCTGGTAGTGTGTATCCACTAATACACTTTTCTTACAAATACCTGCACATATGCTTAGTTGGCACATCATAGATTTAAGTATTAACTTGACCATTTGCAATGGGTTGTGGATGCTTTAGTATAATATAATTTATATTATATTATAATATAATATAACTTGCTAATAATAAAATGTAAAATAGGATGAAAGATCTTTGGAATTTACAGCATGATGCCTAGTATTTCAAGTTGATTATTGATTAATTATGAAAATAGTGTTATTGTAATTTATATTACATTTAAATACAGTGGGTTGAGTATGTTATATTAATAATTATTTAAAATTTTTTAAACCTTTTTCACTATGGTTTGATGGCAGAGAGATTCAGTCAGTGGTGTTGACCAACATAGCAACTTTGACAGTGAAGCATAAGGTAAATAGATGAAATGTCAATGTAAGTGTTATCAGTATAACTTAACACTAAAAATAGGTGTTAGTGATCCATTGCCACTATTGATGTAGAAGTTTAAGACAACTTTGGTTTGAGTTTTTAATGACTAAAGTTGTTGGAACTACATACTATGTCAAAATTATTGTTGTCTACAGTCACATCACATTCAACTTGTTTAAATTAATAATATTATTTTGTGTTACCAACACTATGTGAAGGTTGTTGGTATTATTTTGATCTATTCTTGCTCAAGTAGTAGACAATTAGTGATAATACACACTTTTAGATTTGTTTATTAAATGTAATTATTTTTTCAAATAATCGATTTTTAGTATTCATGTTTTTTGTAAAGTTTTTAAGATACAAACTCAAGTAGAATTGAACCATTCGGAAAATAAATTGAATTATAAAATTAACTTTTTGGGATAAACATAGATAAACATCACAATTAGGTAAGGTATGTTTAATTTAAGTATTGCCTTCTAGTGAAAAACGTTGATGTTTTTTTGCATATTTAGTAGAAATTTCTTCTTTTTCTAGGGAATGTTTGAGCCTTATATGAAGAGTTTTTTTGTTAGGTACAGTGACCCAACTCATATCAAGCTTCTCAAGGTTTGTTGTTTAACAATATTGTTTGATTTCTAAATAAAATATCACATCCATTGAGAAGTTATATACCAGTGTTAATGTATGATTCTATTGAATTTCAGAGTTTATATTGATTTTAAGTATTTGTTTATCTGGGCATAATGTGAAGTTTACTTTTATCCAAATATCACAACTAGTCAAGTGCCTGATTATTAAAACTAGGATATATATATATATATATCGGCATATACTTAACTACTAAATGTAAATTACAAGTTAACTCAGTTTTAGGCTATTTGAAATTGTAATACGTAACAATTATTTATTAATGTAAACAAAGTAAAGTGTTATAAATGTATTGTGTAAGTTTCCATGCATAGTGAATTGAGTCCAATAAAAAAAAACGTTTGTAGAATATAGAGAAATGTTTTTATTTACAATTAAGAGTAAAAACTACATATTAATGATGTGTATTATTATTTTTGATACCTTACAGTTGGACATTCTCACTAACTTAGCGAGTGAGACAAATATTTCCATTATATTACGGGAGTTTCAGGTACGTTTCTTTCAGAAATAATTGTGGATGTTGACACATATGCGTTTTTTTATGTGAAAAGCCAGTAAAATAGAATATTTAAAGCTTCAGTTCAGTTCTCTTTGTATGTTATATTTTTGTCATGAGAATAATTTAGGTATCATATATTTCTAGATATTAGTGTATTTGAAGCAGTTTTGTTCATGATATTAGTTTTCTAGTTTCTAATAAAATCAAAATTTAAAAGTGTTGTATGTGTGTTAAGACTTTTAAATTATCATTTCCCAGATTAATCCTATATGCATGGATGGAGGTTAAAGTGCATATACCACAACCTTCAACAGAGTGCTATTAAAAATGGTATTATGTATTTAATGTCAGAGTTATCTACCATTCATATTACCATACATTGCTGACTTTGTAACAACCCATGATATGGGATAATAAACACCAGGTACAATATGCAGGGATACTGAAAGAACTGTAGATATGCATTTCAAAGATGCTTGAGGTTATGCAAACACAACATATGAACTGTACAATGGACAAAAGTATTTTCATTCTTACCATGAGCATCACCTTGCACTCTGACTTGTTGAATCTAAGTCAGACTGACATTATTGATTCAAAGACATCTCTTGAGTACAAATACTTCATTAACACATGTTTTTTTGTGTACAAAAGTCTTAAACTATTTATTAAAAGCTTGCCACATTTCATGAAGATACATTTAGTAAATTTAGAATTATAGTCAGTATTCCTTCTCCAGTATGGGGTTGGTTCAATGGACTGACCCTGTGAATATTTAGTTAAGGTGTTTTAAATGACATTGTTTCTCTGTACTTTAATAAAATAACTTGTAAAGATAGCATAGGTAAATGTACTGTGAATTCAAGCTTAGAAATTTTGAATGTCACACAGTATTTGTACCATAAGCATTGTGTAGAATAGTTATTTTTTTGGGTCAAAACATAAGCTAAGGTAATTACTCTCACCCCTGGAGGGGGGGGGGGTGAGGGTATTGCTGTTCGGTCCATGCATGTAAGTCTCTCTGGGTTTCCATGCTTGTATCTTGAAAACTAATAGACAGATGTACATGAAAAATTTACACAAGGTAGGGGATTGGTGCAGTACCGGACAGTCATCCCAAAATTTGGTCCAGATCAATATCTGGATACGGATCACTTTGAACCATTTTTTATAAGGGGTAGATAGGGCATTTTCGTGGTTTGGGGATAATAACTCTGTAAAGTGTGATCAGATATTTACCAAATTTCATGGCCACATTAAGGTTCAGACTCCTTATCACACTAAAAAGAAAGGATTTGGATCATTGATCATTGTGGATCTGAGGATTTTCTGGGTTTTTGAAGCTGAAATTTGACATTATCCAATATAAACACATATAATCTTGAAAAGGACTGGTGGGGTGAGAGTATGCAATCTTTCTGATTGCTTTTGTTTTTTATATATATTTGAATATTGGTACCTTTTTAAGATAGATTGTATTTTATGTTTATTTTTAGTACTTTTTTTTAAGAAATATACAAAAGTATTTTTTGAGGATCTATTTTATGTTAGTATCTCAGCTTCTGACAAACAATTTTCATCTCTGAGCAACAATAACAGTGAAGTTTAGGTGTGCCTACTTTCATAATTTTTGATTCAACTTCAATATCTATTCTGAATCTTTCTATTTGGATCCTATAATTTATTATTTTAAGATTTTCTACATAAGCTTCCGTAATATATAGTTTCATTTATTAATAGTTAAAAAAACTTTATAGAAAACTGTACCTAAGAGCTTTGTTGAAAAAACTGAAAAATAATGAATTTTGTCTATGTAGACATATGTTAGTACTTCTGACATGGAGTTTGTGGCAGCAACTATACAAGCCATTGGTTGCTGTGCTTGTTCAATAAAAGAAGTCACAGATACCTGTTTAAATGGCCTTGTTTCTCTATTGTCCAACAAAAATGGTAAGATATTTGTGTGTGTGTGTAATGTATATGAGAATAGTGGGTTGTATTTGCTTTTATAAACCCTTATGTTTCTGGGGGTGGGGATAATGATGTACTAGTAAACAAGTTTTATTTTATGTATAGTCAGATATTAAATCAAAGTTTAAACTGTTAAAGAATTGTATGTTTTGAAGAAAATGGATGAAACTGAAATTTAAATTATTAGGTACAAAAAAATTTCTTGTTTGGATTTTATTTTATCACCCTTTGGTTGTTATTATTATTTTTTACTTTTGAGACATTTTAGAAACTTCCCAGACTTTTTCGGAGGTTTATTTTCGAGATATGTTTATTAATGTGTAATAGAATTACTGAACAAAATTATCTTCATGACTGTTTTATTTTTTTTATCACTTAAATTACTTTACATTCCTAACCCTCTCTGGGCTGGAGGGATATCATTCATAACCCTTATTTTTTGTCATTATCACAGTATTGATATATATATAACCATATTGCATGAAACTTGGCATTAATTTTTAAATGTTGTCTAGTTCCTGCATGCCAACAAAGGATATTACAGTTGCTAATTCTTTCAATCTGGATACTTTGTGTGACTGCAATATCCTCTTAGACATTATAGATATTACCTACTATAGAGAACAAAGGAACTTGAACAAGGCAATATCATTATCTTTTCAAACCACATATTTAGGCTAAAACTACGTACAAAATAACCAAATGAAAAGTTATAAAAATTTTTATATTACTAAAGCAAGTATAAAACATGATGTGTCTCCATATCATACCTTTCTGTGATTGTTCTGAAGTTAACAATTAAAATTAACCCTAAAACCAATAACCCTTAAACTCATGACATGTTCAAGGAACACACTACCTTTATTCCTAAAAAACAGATACAAGCCACAAGGATGTCACAAACCCTGCAACAATAAACTACAACTAACTACAGTACTAGATAAAAAATTTTAACTATGATTTAGACTGAAATACACATTATAATAAAGCCCTTTAACTTTAATGACCATACCATGAAATGACATTTAATGATGATGAAAGAAAGTAAACTTACTTGTGATTTTTAAAAATCCATAATAATACATACTATAACTTTTAAAGAAAATGGTGTAATTAAAATACTTGAAAAAAAGAAGTCTTTAATAAATTACATTTCATATATATATGTGCACATACCAACTAAAAATAAAACGGTGATTAAGGTCCTTTCCAAGGAATAAATGATAAAATGTGTAAATAAAATAATTACAAGAATCAATCCTTTAACACAAAGAAACATTGAAAAAATAGTGAACGAGTATATACTTAAAATCATTAAAAGTAAAACTAAAGAAAAGAAAAAGAAAGAAATAGATGCAGAGATACACTGTCCACTTTAAGAGATACACTGTCCACTTTAAGAGATACACTGTCCACTTTAAGAGATACACTGTTCACTTTAAGAGATACACTGTTCACTTTAAGAGATACACTGTCCACTTTAAGAGATACACTGTCCACTTTAAGAGATACACTGTCCACTTTAAGAGATACACTGTCCACTTTAAGAGATACACTGTCCACTTTAAGAGATACACTGTCCACTTTAAGAGATACACTGTCCACTTTAAGATACACTGTTCCACTTTAAGAGATACTGTCCACCTTAAGAGATACTGTCCACCTTAAGAGATACACTGTCCACCTTAAGAGATGCACTGTCCACTTTAAGAGATACACTGTCCACTTTAAGAGATGCACTGTCCACTTTAAGAGTACACAGACTAATATAGAAAACTAATCACAAAAATAAAATAAAAAACAGAATTAGAAACCATTTAACAATGAAACATTTCAATTTTATCTTTAACAAAGATTCAGAGCTGCCTAGTCTAGATAAGGGCAGTCTAATGCAAAAACTCGTAAAAATAGGTAAAGTAGCATCATGCAAGTCCCTCAAATTCAAATACTCAAAAACAAGAAACACCATATACATAAAATACACAAAAATACTAAAATAAAAAACTAATCACTTCTTGCTTGTAGTTGTGGGACCGAGCAAATAGTGGCAGTTAAACTTATAATGTATATACACTATATGCAAATCCAAAAAGAAAAATTAAAAGGGGGAAATACATTTAAAATTTATACATATATAAAGAAACCTTAACTTCTTGCTATTTCACACATACATTATTGAAAAAATTTAAATACATATATATATACACTTAGAAAATGTCAAAATCTGTTAGAAAATGTAATTGGCATGTGCCATCATAAACAAATGGATAAACTATCTTTGTTTTGTATGTTCTGGCAAAGTAGCAGTAATTTGAAAACAGCATGACTGATCATATCGAAACTTTAGTTATATTTAAAGAAATTGTAACTCTTAACATAGAATCTGTCTTCTTGTCCTTAAACAATAGTGAAGTTTTACAATTTCACAAATTGTTATAGTTCAATGCTACATTACATGCATAGATCAAATAATCAGGGAATAACATATTTTAGCTAGGGAAAGGTCTGGGAAACATTAGAGTGACATTTAATTTGTCCAAGGTGTGAGAACATTGTACTCACCTGTTTGTGAAAAATAAAAGGTGTCAATGCAAGTTACTATATGTTCACCTGTCTAAAGTCAACAGAAAACCTTGGTTTACCTTCCTCCTTCCTGGCAATCACTATTAGAGACAACCAAGTCATCTCTATAGGTTGTATGACTGTCTTGTAGCATTTGCTGTATTTCAGTATTCATAACTTCTACTGCTCAAAGAATCTGTGTTGTGGGTTACCATATTGGATGTGCATTGACTCTTTACCCCAGTCAGCCATCTGGACCCACAAATACATTGGTATATTCACTCAACAAGGTACTGAGTTGCTTTCACTGTGTTGAGCCTGGATTGTTGGCCCAATAATCTGCCAACAACTTCAGATTTGTTGGTAGTCTCATATTTACTTTTGACCTTGGTGTGAAGGATACAACCCTAGCATTACTGGTAGCAGCAATTATTTCCATTTTGGCTAGTGTGTCTACAATCATTCTAATGTCCAGCTGATCATCTATAGTTACAAAGCAATACCAAAACTTCATTCATTGTCAGGTGGTTCACTGCCCAATTTTATAGTGTCTGTTTTCTGTACAGGAAGGAGATTATTTCATGTAAGGATTTTGTGAGCATTTTAAATGGCACCATCACATTAGATTTCATTCTGGTGTAACCATGGAACACCACATGTGTACATGGAGGTACAATTATTCTCTTTAGTTGGGAAGCCTGTTGTTTCTGGGTTTGATCTGGATTGCATTGGTTAACTTTCCTGTAGACCCGTTGCACATGCAAAACTGATGGACAGACTCTGCAGTATGTCTATTCCAAGGATGTCAGTTCTAAGGTCAAAAACAACTAATTTTGTTTTCTGGGCAACACCCTCTAGACTGAGCTGTAGATCCATATCTCCTCTAACATGTATTATATCACTATTTGCCAAAATGAAGTCAGTATTCACTGACCATAGTGATAGTCTCACTATGAGGGTTTTAAAGGTAACAAGGTTCACTAGGGTTCTTGCATCTTTTGTGTTTATCAGGAACTCAATGTCTCACTCTTGTATTTTTATCAACATATACCAAGCTCCATCCAGCCCTGACAGAGTTAAGCTGACCACTAAACTCTTTGGTGCAAGCTGCTCTCTGTGCTCCCCCAAGTAATTGGCCAAGTCCAACTTAGGTTTTGTCATTTTTCTGGAGCACTCCTCAGCATCCACCACTCTGCTGACCATCTTAGACCTGCTGATTTGATGGCCAGTATTAATACTCTTAACTATTTCCTTACATGGCCAAGTGTTGATGTTGTGGACTGGTTGACATCTGTTGAGTTTGTTAGCTGGAAAGAAATAGCTCTGCCAGTAAAGTAAAGGCAGTTACTTTGCTAGTGCCCAAGTAATTTACAAGCAAAGTATATGCTTTTCCCTTCCATTCCTTGATGATGTCCAGATAGAGGCATTGTTCAAGACTCTCTATGAATAGTCCCTGTTTAAACAAACTTTCTTGGGAAAAAATGAGTTGTAACACCATATGAGTTAGGAAAGACTGTTATTTGCAATTTTTTTTTCTGTGTACTATCATTGAAGTTGCTAAGAAGGATTATATAAATATAGTACAAACTATTGTTTGTAATATCGTAATCAGCAATTTAAGGTTAATTTCTTTAACTGTTGTAAATTTAACAATTTTATGGTTTTTGTCTATTGTTTTTATCTTAATATGTACCTTGATTTAGTGCAGTTTGATTGTGATTAACATTTAACAAAGTAATGATTTTTATTTATTTTGAAGTTTAATTGGAATTAATGACATAATGATAATTTTCTTTCATACATGTAGGAATTAAAGTAATTTCGTTTGTTATTGTTTTAATTAGGGAATGTATAGTCCTAAGAATGCAATTGGAATTTGTTATGATCAGATAATGAAGAACATAAGATCGTGTGCCCTGTATAACTAATTGTTTAATTGTTGCTGAATTTCATTGTATAAAGTTGACTCTCATGAGAAATATTAGAGTATGGTAATAAATTTAGGTTTTAACAGTAAGAGCACCAACTATTAGGCATTTTGATTACTTTCTGTTAGGCTTTTGATCATTGACTTTGAGAAAAGACATATTTGGTGAAATCAAAATTGCTGTTCAACTAGACTATGGTTTTGTGATTTTTTGGGAAAAAAAAAAGTTGAATTTATAACCAGTTATTCAAGGTTTGTAATTTCCTTGTTTGTATTTCAAGTTGAAGTATTGGTTTCTGTTTACTTGTAGTTTGATGTCTGTATTTATTTTCATTGTATTTAGCTAGTTAATTGTGTATTATTTTTCTATGTGTAGGTGTTACTACAAATTTGTCCTAAATAGATTCTGTTGATGTGTGTATTAAATACGGTATTTAACTGTGTTTAAGATATAAGATAATTCTAAGGTAAGTTCAAAATAGACAATACAACTGTTTTGATATAATTTGAGAGTATTTTTGTTTTGGAATTTAAAAGAATTAGATCTTAGTAAAAGAAAAATATTTATTAATCTGCTCTTTATCTTATAAATAATTTACAAGATCTAATTCAACCTGATTTATTGAGTCACTTATGCATTCTTTTAGAAATATCACATTATAACAAATGGAATGCATATATCAATAGAATAAGTAGATCTTATGATCATTGGTGTGCAATGTATGAGCTTACTATTACATTTAATCCTTTGGATTCTATTATCAGATTTATCCGTCTTGACATTTATAGCTGTTTGGTACGACAAGCTGATTTACCCTATGGTGTCAGAAACACTTTTCCTCATAATGTGACAGTTGGGATACATGTCCTTGAATTTCGTGGCTTAGTACCATGTATGCATACGTCACCAAGCAAAAGTGCAACTAGTTGATTTTGATATTGAAAAAGTACTAAAAAAGTTGAATTCTAAATTCCATTTCTTAGTGGATAATTGACACTTTTCGAGAATCCACCCAAAATGTAGTTATGCACTCAAAGGGTCAATGGAAACTTATTATCTTGCATGTTTGCTCTGACATGTTGAAAGTTGATTGTCCATTTTATTTTCACATGTGTTTTTTACATAGAAAATGTTCACATACAAATTTACATCAAGAATTTTTTTGCTTTTTTTCCCCCCAGAAACTGTTGTTGGAGAGAGTGTTGTTGTTATCAAGAAACTTCTACAGATGCAGGTTTGTAGTTATATGTAGTCCAGAAACATTATATATTTTTTGCAGTAATATTACATTGTTTGTCAAATAGTTTAAGAAAGAATTATGCTGTATACATACACACACATAGTAATAATAACTTCTGAACAGAGTAAGCTATGTACTTAGTAGGAAATTAAAAATCAACCTTGCCTACCATATAGTTAATTAAATATAATTTTCTTACATTTCTACTTATAAAGATTAGAATGCATTGTTTCATCAAGTGTGTACTCTCACTGTTGATGATATTTATGGCCGTAATCCCAATACATCATGAGGTTCTGCCAGCTTAATAGACTTAGGTTATTTTTAAATACATATTTTAAGCTGACAGTGCAAAAAAAATCTTTATAATAAAAGTATAGTAATAAACAATGAATAAAAAAGTAATGACATTTGATATACTAACCAGTATAACCAATACTTTTAATGAAAGTAACAATGAATAAACAGTATAGTATATCTTAGCGAACACAGCACTAGTTATTGCCTTGAGCCATTATTGTAGAAGTAAATTTTATGGAAATAGTAATCTTGCTTTTCTTAGCATGTCTTTTAACCAAAGAAAACTCATTAAGCTACAGGCACAGTCTGACTGGCAACATTATTAGGACTTCCATTTAATATCAGGCTGGATTAACCTTCTGTGAAAATCATATATTGTGAGTGTGGTATAGACTCCATATAATAACCAAAGGTAACTTGTTTGATTGTGGTACATTTTCTGAGGAACCTAGTTGGCAGTTATTAGATGTCAACAGATGGTCAAAAAGGCAGATGAGACATTCAAGATAATTCTGAAGTACTTGGTTAAGCTGATATTTAGTGAATGTGCTGCCCATGGCAGATGGGTGAAGATACAGCCAGTTTCTTTGAGTCAGATTAGGACAATACAGTGGTGGTTTATTGATTTATTAGTGTTTTGGAAGAGCTTATGACTTGTATAGTGCAAATGCATCATTGAAAGATGGACAAGATTGATTGTTACGTATATTCTTTTGAAAAATCAAAGATCAGCCTCTGTTATAGTAAAGATTCTCACACCAGTACAGCACTTTTAGCACGTCATACAACTAGACCAACAAAGGTCAAATGTCTCATTATTTTTACAATACCATCAGTACTAAAAGGAGTGAAGAACTTTATCAAGCCACAACACATGTTCCCAATTATTTGTTGTGTTTAATTTGCACCACTGAAGCAATGCTTTCCTGTTGGTAACGAAACATTGATCACTCTTGAAGGAATAAGTCATAAGGAACATCCTGACATCTCTTGCACTTTATATGCCTGCTCAAAAGTATTCATCTCTTGCCTGTTCCCAGAGGAAAGATGTTGCAGATAGCTACTGTTTACAGACAGATGATGTAACTACCATTGATACATTACTGAATTTATATAATTATAGGGACCAGTTAATTACCTGACAAATCACAGAATCGGTCCATTTTTCATATGCAAGAAAGTGTAATGTTCTACAAGTGTGTGTGTGTGTGGTGGAGTTACAAGAAAGTGATCAGTTATTGTGACTAATCATCACAATGTCACATGCCTTAGTGGCCTTTTAATAATAAACCTTATTCTATTTCAAATACACAGTAGATATTTATATGCCAAACTCATTCAATTTCAGATAAATTTTATAAATTAGAAGACTTTTATATACATTGAGTTCTCTTGTTCCTAGTTCTAGCAATCAATGATTTTAAATGAGTTATGGTGTACATGTAAGTTGCAATCATACAGTACACTAGATGTACTTCTGCAGGGTCCCTGAAAGTGTTCTGTTTCAAGAGTAAATAAAACCAAAATAATGAGTAACAAATATTTTTTATTTCTTGCTTTTGAAGTTTGGATGTCATACTGTGTTATAGCTTTCAGAGTGCATAATTATTCTCTCGATTCATGGCATGTACATATTTAACTGACGTCACAACAGTACAAATTGAAACTTTTATGTGTCATTTTAGTGTCTACTGATTGTCTGACCGACAACACACTACTATATAGTGGTGCAAGTGGTTAAAACAGGTGACCACTCTAGGCAGCCTTTAGCCTCTTTTGAGGAAATAATTTATGATATTTGGTTTGTTGGTTGTTCTTACATTTATATGCTCACTTGTATGTGTTGAAACCATCTCTTTTATGCTTAGTGTTGCATCTAGGACAACTAAATTCCCATACTAGTATTGATAATTTTAATGACAGTATTTTTTCTGTATGGTACCCAGTGTTATACTTATTAATTGTTTGTTTGTTCTTTTACTTTATCTGAGTACATCTGGATTATACATTTAATCATATTTTGAAAAATCTAATTTTCTTAGAAACTTTTTAATGTTTTCTAGTTCCTTATGTTGATATACATTTGTGTATATCAAGTGAGCATATAAATGTAAGAACAACCAACAAACCAAGTATCATAAATTATTTCCTCAAAAGAGGCTAAAGGCTGCCTAGAGTGGTCACCTGTTTTAACCACTTGCACCACTATATAGTAGTGTGTTGTCGGTTGTGTAGTAGTTAGCATATATACACAGTAAATCAAGATTTTAACCAGGCTTCCATTGAATATATCTGGTATAAAGCTTCCAGAATTAAAATACAAACCCATAAATGTGTTTTTTGATAAACTTCCTATTCAAATTCCTTTTTTATTTGTTATTAATATGTATTCGGATGGAAGTTTGTGTTCTTGCTGAAGCTCTAAAGTAAATGTATGCTATTGTGTTTGTTGTTATGATCTTTTAAAAACTGGTCTATTTGTTCTGTTTCATTAAAGTCATTAAATCTATTATTGTAAATAGGGTTAAATGCCTTTGAGCATTTTTTGACCATCAACTTTCATAAAAGCACAAAAATAGGTTAGTAAGTGATTTACCAGTCTAGGTCTCAGTATATTTTGATTATATATTGTGTTATTCAACATAAGTGCAACTCCTTTGTAGCAACTTGCAGTACTTTATGAAATACATTGTTCAAGCTTATATTATCGTTATGTCTGAGTTAAATCTGTAACTAGTTGTATTGTCTCCAAGTTGAATATTTGTATACAGAGATTCTACATCAAAACTTGTACTGTAAACTCTTATTGCATTGTACATCTTTAATTTCATCAATGAAGATAAAGCTATTATCATTAGTGTACTTGTTTAACTCTTTCACAAAGGGCTCAGTCCCAGGGACTAACCTCATAATCATTTTGTGCTTGTCATAGTTTTCATGCTCTAATTTTTAATACAATAAGTGTGAAATTTTTATAACCTTCAGATAGTTATCAAACTTTTTTTTATATAAAAACCTTTATATTTTATCTGTTATTTTCATATTTTAAAAATAATATATATATATACAAGTTCTTCTTTTTGCCAGTTGTTGATAAATAAATGGCTTTTACTTATATATCTTAATAG